ATTTTGTGAGAACAATTGCTTGTGGGCCTGAAGGGTTTATGCTCAAAGATATCCAAATAGGAATTTTCTTGACAAGCGTTCCTTTGAAAAACTTGCTGATAGTGTGGCATATGAAAAACCTATTAAGCAGAAACCTATCATTGGAAGTAAAGAAAATGAATTTGCCTTAATAGGTTGTTTTATAGAAAATCCAATATATCTACAAGTCGTCGTAATATAAATCAAACAACTACTTCTTTACTTTTTATTATAAAGATTAACATATTAAACCCTTATAATAAATGCCTTATTTTATGCCCAAGAATCCAAAAATGAAATAAAATACCAGGTGTTCCATTAGAAAATATATAACTTTGGTATGGATCTTAGTTCTGACACACCCTGTACATTTTAAAATAATTTTAAATTGTGCGGATTGCCGCCCCACATATACCCATAAAAATTTTTGTTTCTACACCTTTCCGTTTTCGTATAATCAACCGAGGTGAATGAGGAGCGCCACCCTGTATTTATAATTAATTTATTTTTGATTAAAAGAAAATATATAAAAGTGGGAAACGCGGTGCCGGTCAAGTGACGTTAATCACGTGACTAAAAGTTTATTTGGTATGAACTATAGAACGCATTTATGCCAAATTGCAAATTAAAAATTAAACAATAAATTTTATGCAAAACTTGTAATTTAAATTCATAAACTGTACTTACAAAAATAAAAAAGCATTTTACTTACAGTCTGCAGATGTGATTGATAATGGCATCACAGTCTCCTAATAGTTCGACATCGAAATGACAGTGAGGTAGCGGTTCTCTGTTGATAAGGATTTGCGGAACGTTGGCTGGAAGAGAACTGGGAATGAGAGCAACAGGTCGGACTTTGAGCGAACTGCCGATGACAAGTAGCAAGTCGCATTCGGAATTATCGGCAGTCATGGCTTCGTGAAACGTGTCTGGAAGACCTTCTCCAAAGAATACAATGTCCGGTTTCATTATACCAGAGTGAACCAAATCCTACAAACAAAGTAGAAATTATCATTTAAGACAATTAAATTACAAATAACAACGAATAAAAAGAATTAGTAGAGATCAATAAAACCCCGTTCAAAATCAGCGACTTTTAGACGACGATTTTGTAATTTAAGATCCATTTTTGTACAGCAATAAGTAATCCTAGAGAAATGTTCTTACTGGTATAAAAATCCAAGATCAGAAAATAGTTTTTATGAGAAAGATTGTCAGCAAAAATTTGAAAAATATACGCAAAAAATAGATACCTTATAATTTGTTGTTTCACATCCAAGATCGTCTGTTGAAACTGAATCTCCTTCATTGGCGTGACACTTTTCACAAAGTGGAATTTTCTGTGCCAAAACAATATCCCTTATTGCATCTGCATTTACTTTATGGTCGCACCTGGTGCATGTGGCTGTAGCAAAGGAACCATGACATTCAATAACCCTTTCAATTTGTGCCTCTTTCTCCAAAGTATCAATGTTTTGAGTGTAGTTTCTAAGAAGTTTATTGTGTTTCTCCAATAATTTTATAAACCTGTGGCAGGGACTTGGTTTGAATTTGCCTGGGTATATATCTCTAGCAAATTTGAAAAAGGGCCTCGGGTCTTGAGTGAAGAAACTGATATCAAACATTGCTTGTGGATCGGGTAAATTAGGAAAATCCATGGCTAGTCTGGAATAAATACCATCCCTTGACCTGAAATCGGGTATTCCGCACGATACCGAAACACCCGCACCGGTCAATACTATTATTTTTTGAGCACCTACAAATAAAAATTGTAGTTATATTTGTTACATACAACTTGATGTTACAAATACCTTTTAGTAATCTTACTATATCGTCGAGAGTATTAACATGTCGAAGTTTATTTCTCCTAGGTGGTTCCGCAAATATGTTAATAACAAGTTTCCAGAGAGTAAAGTCATTAACATACTCTGGAATCTGATCCAAATCTACACCTGTAAATAAAGACAAAGTTTTTAATAAGGATACTGAAATTAGATTGCCTTTTTGTTTCATAAACATGAATTTAAAATGATTGGTTTTAAATTGTCACTCAATATCTTCTCAATATTTAACTCTTTTTTCTAAGAGTACTTTTATTTTTTACAGTTTAGTTTAAACTAACAATTTTAGGGTCATTTAGAAACAATCTTGGATTGTCAGATTAAAATATTTGATAATATTTTAAGAATAAGTTCTGAAAACTGGTTTTATACTTATATATCTAAAAAAGTTGTTTTTTGTTTAAAAGAACAAAATAATTTTCATGTACAGGGTGTCCCACTAAGAATAGCTCTCGGCTGTATCTCGGAAACTATTAGTCGTAGGGCTTGCGGAAAAAAAAATATTTATAACTAAAGTGACCATGAGAAATTGCTGTAAATTATTTTCAAGTTTGTAGAACGGCCGCTAGAGGACGCAACTGCTATGGAAAGTAAATGAAATTTTTACGAAGTTTTGCCTAGATAAGGTGTACTATACATAATAGCTTCACAATCTTCAGTAAATTTTGGATCTTTTTTGACAGAACCAATTTCGCCTATCTGCTAAAATAAAGTGGTGGGGGAAGGTTAGATCTGTTATTATTTAAATGTTAATAACTCCGGACTGGATGATCGGAATCCAACAAACGGGGGCTCGTTTAAAAGACGTTTCTTACTCTAAATTATGCCGCATAAACAATAAAAATATGCTTTTGAACGTAGACGCTATGGGCCCTATCTTATAACTTAACAAACATTACGCGTTTTTTTAAAAAAAAACGCGATAGTAGGTATATGTAATTTTAGCTGATACTAAAGAGTAATAAAAGCTTAAAAAATCAGCGAAAACCGCATCTTTTTTATCATCATATCTTTTTTCAAACCAACGTTATTAGCAAAATTATAATAAATACGAAAAAATTAATTTCCTTATTTTTCTAATACGGCATCACTAGCCCTCTAGATTATGACCATTCTAATAAAAAATAAGATAAAAAGATTATTTTATTCAAAAAATCGACAATGTACCACAATACCATAATACTAGGCGTGTTAACATATAATAATTAAGATATCAATGACAGTGAACAAGAAACGACGCCTCAGTGAATTCATGGTAGGGTTTGGGAAAATGTTGTTTTTAAAGAGATAGTTTAAACATCAAAATATTATTATAATGACATTCTGATAGTCTCAGCAGGGTTTTTATCTTTTGATTGCTTTTCTAAAAATGCTTTTCGTCAAAAGAGAAAAAACGCTACTAAGAATATCAAAATGTTGATCTAATAACACTTTGACGTTTATACTATTACGTCAAAAGCAACTTTTTTCCAAAACCTACCATAACTTACTGAGGCTTCATTTCTTTTTCACTGTCATTGATATCTTAATTATTAGATATTAATACATCTGGTATTATGATATTGTGGTATATTGTTGATTTTATAATAAATTAATCGGTTCTATATTATTTTTTATTAGAATGGTCATAATCAAGAGGGCTACTGTAACTGTGTTATAAAAATAAAGTAATTAAGGGTTATTATAATTTTGCTAATATCTTCGGTTTAAAAAAAGATATCAAGATAGGTTTTCGTTGACTTTTTAAGATTTTACTACTCTTTACCATCGGCTAAAATTACATATACTATCGCATTTAATTTTTTTTGGGAAAACGCGCAATGTTTGTTAAATTGTAAGACAGCGCCCTCTAGCGTCCACATTTAAAAGCT